AGAAGAAGAAGAAGAAGAAGAAGAAGAAGAAGAAGAAGAAGAAGAAGAAGAAGAGGGGAAGGGGAAGGGGAAGGGAAGGGGAGGGGAAGGGGGAGGAGGAGGAGGAGGAGGAGAAGGAGGAGGAGCAGAAGAAGAGGGGAAAGGGGAAGGGGAACGGGAAGGGGAACGGGAAGGGGAAGGGGAAGAAGAAGAAGTCATTGTAAAGCAAACAGATAAAACCGTTCCACGGAGAGCACAGATTCAAAACTCTGCCAAACACAGTAATATCACGCAGATCCTCGACGCGTTTCGACTCGGTGCGTGCCCGAGTCTCTTCAGGAGGCTAAAGTACAAGTGGAAACCAATCTTTCCCTCGCTTCCCTCTCTCGTTCACCTTTCCTTTCAAGCCCCACCTCTCCGATGCATCGTGTTTCCGAAAGAACTGTCCGGCGTCTGATCTACTAATTCCATTCCCCATAGTCATCATATATAAGCATGAAGAAGAAGAAGAAAAAAAGGGACAAAGGTATGTGCGCTTCTACAGAGGGACAAAGGTATGTGCGCTTCTACAGAGATCCAAGCACATAGACAGCACGACTCGCAAAGAGAGGGATAACCTCTTGCTGCGAGCATATAACATATCACTGATAGCGAGAGGTGTCATCCGAGTGCGGTCCGAGTACGGGAGCCAAAGCACAAAAAATGTTMTGAAGGAGGAGATCAGAAAAACCGAGCTGCAAAGCCAACGGGAGTCTACTGTCCGGGGCCCAAAAACCGCTGTCCCAATGTAACCCGTCGCAATGTATCCAGTTCTACTTCCATCCGGATTCACCAACGGTCAGACATCCTAAAAAAGCGGTGGCGGGGGGACCATTAGTGCCCAAATGCGTGGGGGTCGCAGTTTCGTAAACCGGTTCGCAGGTCCGTAGTATGTGCCCAAAAAAACAGAGGTTTGAAGCCGTAGTTCCGTATCCAGCTCGCAGGTCTGTACCAGGTGTCCAAAAACTCCACGGGAAGTGCTCTTTCTATTCCAAAAAAATTGAGCGCCGGAGTAAAAATAAGAATTAAAAAAGATGAAGAAAAAACCCACCCACGCCTATAGCTGAAAAAGTCCAAAAAAATTTCCAGTGTACATGCCAGGCTATCATCCTGGTTATCAAAACAGTCTTCGGTGGGGGTATACCTGTGAGATCCAAGATCCCCAGGTACCGCCCACCACCTTGGCAAACCTTGCCAAGGATCCGAAGAAGACCTCCGTGGGGTGATCCAAGAGGCGAGCTTCTCTGATGAGACACATGATASATGCGCGCGCTGCCCTTTCGTCCGTGGACGACTTCCACAAGCGGATCATGGATGCTGTAAGTGTCATCCGCTTCACCTTCTTAGCAGAGTAGGACCGAAAATCCTGCATGGATTGGAAATGTAGAAACCCTCGATCCGTCAGTGACGCTTGGTTCTTTGTCTTCGGGAAGATATGCAGAAGAGGTGGGGATGGTTCTAGGAGTATCCTGTTCCCCAAGAAGTCCCAAGAGTTGCTGTCGTCATCCTTTCTTACTAACTTAAGAGACTCCGGATAACAACTGGTGAAAAGATCAGCAATTCGCATAGCTTTCTGATACGTGGTTGGTTGCTGGCTGTCGAAAGCAAGCAGAATGGAAGCATCGTCAACCATCCGAATGTCGGCTATCTGTCGCCGGTCATCGCCATGGGATCGGAGAAGAGCATACTCTGCTCTTGCGCATGGTAGATCTGCCAGAGCTGGAGATGAGTGTTTCCCCATGGAAACACCAAAAATTTGCTAGTATACACGCCCTTCGCACACCCTATATGTGTGACAAAGTTCATACTCCAGAATCTTCTGAATCTTCGCGAAGGATAGTAGGATGTACCCATCCTCCTTGCGTGCGATCCGGGCCATCTTACATCACTTACCTCGTACACTCACCTTCACACCGATCAGCCCCCTGTCCCGATGGAGACTCAATAGCCATTGCACGGATGTAGTGATGTCGTCATGGGGGAGCTTAGCGAGCATATCCTTTATGTCATAGCTCCTCCCGATGATTGTATCACCCGCCTTCCCAGCGGTTACAACCGCTTTTTCCATAGCTGGCTTCAGCTGATCCATTGATTTCAAGCTGAAGTGGCTGGTCGCCGGAAGACACAAGAGCATGTACCGAAGCGCTCTTCCCAGCCTGGCACTGGCTGTTCGTGATGGTTCGGACCTTGAGGGTGGGATCGGCCGCCATCTCGAATAATCCTCATCCTTCGGGATAACGTACGCTCTCCCAAGCTATCCGTTTGTTTGCCATGTGGCAACAGAATCGAGGCCCGCTTGACGGTACTCGATCTTTGCCGACGTGAGAGTTCGTCCTTCGTTCTCCGGCATAGGAATGAAACCAGGGTTCCAACAAAAAGTCATGCGGAAGGCATGAAGATACAGGACTGGGCAGATAAGAAGTGTAGCACCCGGGTTTCTATCCAATGGTACGAGTACCAGTTGCTGAAAACGATCAGTTTCCTTCTTGACCTCCTGCTCTATCAGGGCCAATCGGTGAATTTCTTCCTTCACGAAGCAGCGCGTAACATCTTGGTCGGAGATGTGAAGAGCATTCTGCCTCCATGATTTTGGAATCGACCGTACGATGTACTCGACAAGTTGAGTCTTTGTCATTGAACGGCCACATGTCACGTTCTTCGAGTTGCGTACGAAGCGATGTACTCCATCAACTTGATCAAGCCTGGTTCGTACATGGCCTTCGAATCTCTCCAGTCTGAATGTTGCGCAATTGCATACGTCACATCCTTCCTTCAACACCATTCGGAAGTTGTGAGCTATAGTCCCCACTGTATTTCCTTTCAGTTTCACTATCCGCATTCTCTCTATCACGAGAGAACGTATTGATTCATCTTGAATCGATACGGAAATGATCTTCACCACAATGTCCCTTACTGCGCCCATACTAACTTGCGTAGAAAAAGGGATACGAACCACGATCCTCCTTCTAACATCAATGCCGAACTTCTTTTTCAACGCCCGGGACAATCTCTGGTGAAGGTCGGATCTAGTTCTACTCTTTGAGAACAGACCAGCCATCCTATATAACGCGACCATCTTTCTACTCGATAGTCTATATAGCAGTCTGATCCGCCAAGGCTGTGCCAAGGGATCCTGCAGCAGCCGCTTGTTCCTTTGTATCCCAGATGTCGTAACAACAAGCGCGGTGATATTGAATCGTCCACCACCTTGCATGTTGTTCTTGGCGCATCGCAGCCTCATTCTCATTTGTCGAGAAACCACAGTCGATTCACCATACCTCTCTCGGATTTTCTTCCACGAATCCAGCCAGTATCCACCTGGCTCAACCGTCAGATCGATTGGTTGCTTCGTTCCTTGGGTCTGAAGTTTCTTTGAAAACTTTAGACAAAGGTGCTATTTCCGTTTTGGGTTCCTATGGAATGTCCACCACATTTCAAAAATCAGCAAAGCAAATAAGTAGACCTCAAAGTGGCTTTGTGTACCATTATGCTTTTGTTGTTGTTGTTGTTGTTGTTCTTCTTCTTCTTCTTCTTCTTCTTCTTCTTCTTCTTCTTCTTCTTCTTCTGCTTCTGCTTCTGCTTCTGCTTCTTCTTCTTCTTCTTCCACCTTCCCCTTCCCCTTCCCCTTCTTCTTTTGCTCCTCCTCCTTCTCCTCCTCCTCCCCCTTCCCCTCCCCTTCCCTTCCCNCTTCTTCTTCTTCTTCTTCTTCTTCTTCTTCTTCTTCTTCTTCTTCTTTCTCTTCTTCTTCTTCTTCTTCTGAACAAGCGATTGTTATTTGATAAGGTTCTTAATGTTTTCATAGCTAAATCATTTTTGTGTTTTAGGTGTGAAGTTTCTTTGAAAACTTTAGAAAAAGGTGCTATTTCCGTTTTAAGACCCTATGGAATTTCCACCACATTTCAAAAATTAGCGAAGCAAATAAATAGACTTCAATGTGGCTTTGTGTACTATTGTGCTTTTGTTGTTGTTGTTGTTGTTGTTCTTCTTCTTCTTCTTCTTCGTCGTCGTCTTCTCTTCGACTTCTTCTCCTTCTTCTTCTTCTTCTTCTCCTCCTCCTCCTCCTCCTTCCCCTTCCCCCTCCCCTTCCCTTCCCCTTCTCCTTCCCCTTCCCCTTCTCGTCTTCTTCTGGTTTTTGTTGTGCTTGTTGTCGTTGTTGTTGTGGTTGTTGTGCAGGTCAACAGCGTGGAGCACAGCTATGGCACCCAGATACCAGTGTGGAGCACGGCTATGGCGCCCAGGTAAGCACCGTTGACGCAGGTATGGCCTCCGCCCCTCTTCTTCTTCTTCTTCTTCTTCTTCTTCTTCTTCTTCTTCTTCTTCGTCTTCTTCTTCCTTTTCTTCTTCTTCTCTTCTTCTGAACAAGCGATTGTTATTTGATATGGTTTTTAATGATTTCATAGGATAATCATTTTTACGTTTTGGGTATGAAGTTTCTTTGAAAACTTTAGACAAAGGTGCTATTTCCGTTTTAAGTCCCTATGGAATGTCCACCACATTTCAAAAATTAGCAAAGCAAATAAGTAGACTGCAAAGTGGCTTTGTGTACCATTATGCTTTTGTTGTTCTTGTTGTTGTTGTTGTTGTTGTTGTTCTTCTTCTTCTTCTTCTTCTTCTTCTGCTTCTGCTTCTGCTTCTTCTTCTTCTTCTTCCTCCTTCCCCTTCCCCTTCCCCTTTTTTTTTTGGCTCCTCCTCCTTCTCCTCCTCCTCCCCCTTCCCCTCCCCTTCCCTTCCCCTCCCTTCCCCTTCCCCTTCCCCTCTTCTTCTTCTTCTTCTTCTTCTTCTTCTTCTCCTTCTCCTCCTCCACCTCCTCCTTCCCCTTCCCCTTTCCCTTTCCCTTCCCCTTCCCCTTCTTCCCCTTCTTCTTCTTCTTCTTCTTCTTCTTCTTCTTCTTTACCTCCTCCTCCTCCTTGTTCTTCTTCTTGTTCTTGTTCTTGCTCTTCTTGTTCTTCTTCTTGTTCTTCTTCTTCTTTTTCTTCTTCTGTTCTTCTTTTTCTTCTTCTTCTTCTTCTTCTGAACAAGCGATTGTTATTTGAAAAGGTTTTTAATGATTTCATAGCTAAATCGTCTTAACGTTTTGGGTATGAAGTTTCTTTGAAAACTTTAGACAAAGGTGCTATTTCCGTTTTGGGTCCCTATTGAATTTCCAGCACATTTTAAAAATAAGCAAAGCAAATAAGTAGACTTCAAAGTGGCTTTGTGTACCATTATCCTTTTGTTGTTGTTGTTGTTTATGTTGTTTATGTTGTTGCTGTTGTTGTTGTTGTTGTTGTTGTTGTTGTTGTTGTTCTTCTTCTTCTTCTTCTTCTTCTTCCTATTCTTCTTCTTCTTCTTCTCCTTCTTCTTCTTCTTCTTTTCTCCTCCTTCTTC